AGCAGTTCAGGTGGGGACTCAGACTAAGTACTACATTGTTTATAATTACGCTACCATGTTCGAGGTATGTATATTCAGTATCCGCTCGGAATGGTTGCCGGTCCATTCTGGTTTCTAGTGGCCTAATCTAACCACTAGAGTGTGCACATGGTCCGGTATTAGTTTGTGTCGGGAGATTGCGGTATTAGTTTGTGCCGACAGATTTCAGTTATCAGTTACGTGACTTATGTCGCGAGATCAGACCGGTATCAGATATCAGTTTCAGTTTCAGTTCAGTTATATATGCTTAGTTCATGATATTGTTATTATTTACGATGTTTACATTAGTATGAGTTTCTGCGGAGCACAAGTGTTTTAGTGCTCACGCCCCCACGCCATTTCATGCTTTTCAGGTCGCAGGGTCGGAGACGAGGAGTGAGCGGGCGGGCTGTTCAGGACATTTGTGATTATATGTATATATGTTTTTGCCACGCTTGGCTTCCGCTAAAACTTTCAGTACTCATATTCAGCTTTTGTTCCGACATTAGTCGGATAAGACAATATAACCGTTTTTATTTATCAGTTTAACATTTTAACGGTTTTCAGAAAAATCAAGTTTTTCACGGTAGCATCCCGAATCAGTTTTCGCAAAATAAGTATTTTATTTATTTATTTTTTTAGAAAATTGCGAAAAATCGCGTACTCTGATATATTAAAAAGTCGGGGTGTTACAATTGGTATCAGAGCACGTTTCTGCGTCTCTGAAAAGTTTTTCAGTCAGTAATTTTCAGAAAAACCTGAACCGTCACGCTCACGCCTCGCCGACTCCAGGTAAGTGCTGATTCAGTTTTTCAGTTATAAACATATTACTTTGTCTATGCTCAAAAATCAGTAATCAGATTTAGTTAAGATGCTCGAATCAGGTTCAGACTTAGAGTTTGGATATAACTCTAGAATTCAGTATATTCAGACCTGATTTTAGAGATCAGTACACTCAGATATGACTCTAGAATTTAGTATCTTTCGATATAACTCTAGAGTTCTTCAGGTTTCACGTCAGTAATTAACGGCCAGTTTTGGCAACTCGTCAAGAGATTTGTGGGCTTTAGAAATCAGTCAGAATAATTTCACGTGTTCAAAAATTTTGAACTTTCTCAATGTTCAGATGCCGCCACGTAAGGAACAAGATTATCCGGCTCCTACTCAGGCTACAGTGGTCGCTCAGTTCTGCGACTATCATGCCGAGAAGTTCTCAGGGCAGGGAGATCCTCGCATAGTAGACGAGTGGATTCAGGGCCTGGAGTTTATCTTCGAGGTCATGGAATGCCCTGAGAGATATCGCGTTGTTTGCGCTCAGCTTCAGCTCACCGGTGATGCCAGGCTCTGGTGGAACGCTTACTGGAGCATGCGTCCCGGCGAGAAGGCGGGATGTACGTGGGAGATGTTCAAGGAGTTAATCCGCGAGAAGTACTATCCCACATACTACCGAGCAGAGATGGAGTGTCAGTTTCTATCGCTCCAGCAGGGTACTCGTACTGTTGACGAGTACGAGAGGGAGTTCACTAGACTTGCAGCTTTCGTTCCTGATTTGGTTCGCACGGAGGCCCAGAGAGCGCAGCGTTTCATTGACGGGCTTTACCCAGCAGTCCGTCATAACATCGTAGGCCACGGGACACAGACGTACGCACGTGCAGTCTCCATTGCCCAGGAGGTGGATGCCAGCATCAGGAGGGAGGCCGTCCGTGATCAGTTCCAGCCATCCGCCCCTGCTCAGTCATCTTCAGTTCCACCGATGCCAGCTCTACCATCTGCTCAGCCACCGAAGAATAACAAGAGGAAGGGAAAAGGTGCCCCGACAGATAAGAGGACCCGACGGAGGCTACAGCAGATTCCTCAGTGCCCAACATGCGGACGACTTCACCGAGGCGAGTGTCGCTTTGGTCAGGATGTATGCTACTATTGTCACGAGCCCGGACACTTCGCGAACCGTTGTCCGAAGAAGGCGCAGCAGCCTCAGCAACCTCAGCAGCCACCGCAGCAGCAACAGCCCCGTCAGCAGGCCCGAGTTTACGCCGTCGATAAGGCAGAGGCCGAGCAGCAGCCAGGTACCATGTCAGGGATGGTTATTCTTAATAATGTTCCTGTGTTTGCTTTATTCGATACTGGAGCGACACATTCTTTCATTTCACGACGATGTCTTGATGCCATCGGAGTTCGCGCTACTACCGCTATCGATCCTCTTGAGGTGAGTTTGGCCTCAGGACGAAAGATAGTGACTTCAGCTAAAGCTTCAGATCTTAGCCTTTCCATCGGTGGCCGAGTTTTGTCTACCGACGCGTTTGTTCTCGAGATGAGGGATTTCGACCTTATTCTCGGAATAGATTGGCTATCTTTTTATCATGCAGATATCAGATGCCATGACCGGGAGATTACCCTTTATCTTCCGGGAGACAAGTCGATCACTTTCTTTGGCTCTAGAAATCGTTCTTTGCCTCATGTTGTTTCGATGGCGAAAGCCACTAAGTTGTTGCGACGAGGCAACTGCCAGGGTTATCTGGTGAGCCTTGTCGATGATTCTCAGAAAGCACGTTCATCTCACGATGTTCCTGTCGTTCGAGAGTTTGTGGACGTATTTCCAGACGAGCTTCCAGGAGGACCGCCTAATCGGCAGGTGGAGTTCTCTATCAATCTCATTCCAGGAGCCGGTCCAGTGTCCAAAGCCCCGTACCATATGGCGCCTAAGGAGTTACAGGAGCTTAAGACTCAGATTCAGGAGCTATTACGACTCGGTTTCATTCGACCGAGTGTGTCACCTTGGGGATCACCCGTTCTGTTTGTTAAGAAGAAGGACGGATCCATGCGCATGTGTATCGATTACCGGGATCTTAACCAGTTGACGATCAAGAACAAGTACCCGCTTCCCAGGATCGACGACTTATTTGATCAGTTGAGGGGAGCCTGTGTGTTCTCAAAGATTGATTTACGATCAGGCTACCACCAGCTGAAG